CCGAGTTTGCCTCCGGCAGCGGCCCGGGCGGGAAGCTAAGCAGAGTTGGGCTCGGGTGGCACTTGGGCGGGAGGCCACCAGGAAGGACAAGTGGGCTAGACTGGGAATTTAGAAGAAGACCCCTGAAGGTGGCGGCGCGCTGCTTCTAGCCTTCTGCCGAGAGAGTCCGCAGGGACTTCGCCTTTTAAGCCCATTTCGCGCCCGGCGGCTTGGGTGACTGAGGCGGCCCGGGGAAGGTCTGCTGGCGAGCCCTGGCCCTGCTTCCTGGCTGCTGGACCTCTCGGGCCGAGCAGTTTCCAGGAGCTTTTGCCCGGCCTTTGGCAGCTGCGTGCAGAGCGATTCTGCTTCAGTGCCCCCCCTCCAAGGGGGACACGGTGCTCGTGCCGGAGGGCAGACGCGGCCCGGCTGGCCCACGGGCCCCTGCCCTCCTGGCAGATTGTGTGGGTTGGACCGGCATAGGTCAGGAGCCTAGTGGCGGCTCCCCGTCACCAGCCGCGTGCTCGGGGGGGGGGGGGGGAACCGGCAATTGCCCCCTGCGCGCGAGCTCCCTGCCTTGGCTGACATTGGGCTGCAGTGGGGCGCCTGCTTGGGACAGAAGGCAGCCCCAGCGGTGCCACGGCTGGGGGTGGCAGGCACAGGGGCACCAACTCCAGCCAGGCTTCTTGGGGCTCAGCCCAGTTGGCCCTGGCAGGGGGCTGCTCTCCTGGGTTCGGACGGGCCCTTCCCCGGCCTGCCCAGGAGCGGGTGGCTGTGCCCGGGGCTGCCTGCCTCCGACCCACAAGAGAGGGCTTGAGGGTTCCTGCCAGAGAGGCCGGCTTGCTCGGTGAGTCAGAGTGGGCGCCTTGCGTGGATTAGGAAGGCCTCTGAGAGCGAGGGGGCCACGGCTGGCCAACTGGCCACCCTGCCCCTCTGAGCAGCCCGGCAGAGACACTGAGCTGGACGGCCTTTCTCTGCTCCGGGCAGGGTCAGCTTCCACCTCAGAAGTGCCACCGGGCCCCCCAAGAGCGAAGGAGATGCGAGGAGGAGGCCTCTCGGCCCGGCCCGGCCTGGCCCGGCCCGGCCTTCCCTCCCTCGCTTCATTGGTATCTGAGGCACGTCCAGCCTGCGCCCGCTTCTGCCTGATCCCGCGAGGAGGGGCTGCTCCAGAGCTGACTTGTCCGCGATGGTTTGCCGGCCGCTGGGGCCGGAGCTGTCGGCACTGTGGAAGGAGAAGGAGGCAGCTTGTTGGGTGGCCCCCGGAGCAATCTTTGGAGTGGGCAGGAAGGCAACGAAGCTGCTTGAAAGCAGCCTGCCGGCCCATGGCGCCATGATGTTGCTACGCAGTCGGAGGCTGACTCCCCTCCAACGGCGGTGGGGGGGCAGTTGGGTCATCCTCAGCAGAGCAGCAGGCTTCCTCTTGACAGCTCTCCAGCAGCAGCGGGGAGGGGGGGGTTGGCTTTGACTCTCCTCCCCCCGCACGCACCCATACACTCCTGCAGATGCCCCCTTTCCTCCTTGGTGAGCAAACCTTTGGTTGGCTGCAAGGAAAGAAAGACGGCTTTGTGGGGAGGGAGCATTTGTTCTCAGAGCAGCATTAGGCAGGATAGAAGTTCCCCATGGCAGTTGCCCCCCCCACGCTCTTCAGGGTTTGCACTTGACAAAATTGGATGTGAGGAGGGTGTGAACATCCCCAAGGCTTCAGTGGCTTTCCACTTGAAAACCTCAAGTGATCCCCCCCCCTTTTGCAGGCAGGCCTTTTCCAGCTTGGCACAGCAGCCTTCCCCTTCCAGTGCAGGGACGCAGGGATCTGGTCCTCCCCAGCGGGCAAACTGGCTGGCCTTTTACCCTGAAACCAGCTGGACGTGCTTAGCTTTCAAGAGGGAAGCCGGAGGGGAGAGAGGACCGCGGTCTGCAGTGGGTAGAAAAGCTGCCATGTTGAAAGGGAGGGCAGGCCGAGGCACTGTGGGCCGAAATTAAAGGCAAGGAGATCTGGGCTGAATAACAGGAGAAGCCTGCAAATCCCAGTCGGCGAGAAGCTGCACAAAGGAAGAGGCAGAGACAGAGGCGCAACCTGCAGAATGACGTCCTTCCTGCTGGGCTGGAGGCTTGCAAACCAAGGGTGGGCAGTCAGTGGCCTGGCATGATTGCCAGGCTCACGCCACTTGTGTAGCCGCTTGTTTGCTGAAGGAACTCTTCTTGGAGTTGCGCAATTCCTGGCTGGGTCCCCGTAGCTCTCACTAGCAGCGCGTGAGTGACACGAGCAGGAGAGAGCCGGGGCCCTGTGGTCGTGCTGGTGGGCATCTGGCCAGCACGGTGGTCTGGGCTCCGGGTTGGCTGCTGCTGAGGCCCGTCTCCACATCTGTCAACAGCCTCTTCTTGGCCCCCTCCTGTGGGAAACAGCCATCTCCCTCTTGCACGCTTGGCATCTGACCTGAGCTCTTCCCGCGCCAGGCGAGCCGTCTGTTGTGGGGTTTGACCGTCTGCTCCCTGCCTCCCTGTGTGGCTGGGCTGCTGCGGTTGGTGCGCTCAGGTGCTTGTGCCTTGAGCCGCCGCTGTGCCCAGTGCCTGAGCTGGGCAGGCATTTCTGGTGATGACCGCCACGAGCTCCGCAGCCCAGGAAGGAGGGCATGGGTCACCCCAGCCTGATGCAGGACTCTCACCGCTTGCATGGGCGAGGCTGTTGCTGAGAAAGGAAGAGGCCGCTCTGCCTGTCTGCCTGGGGGGCTTCCCAGGGGGGCCGCCTTTGTCCCAGCCAGGTGAGCTTTGTACAGCTGCCCTGCGTAGCGATGGCATCTCACTCACCCCAACGGCCCCGTCCAATGGAAGGGAGCCCGCGTGGCCGGGGAGGCCTCGGGTGGGCTGGGTGGGCTGGCAGGGGAGCCTGATGTCAGGCAGAGCTGGAGTGGACCCCGGAGGGCTTCTGGGCAGGGCCACGAGGGCACAGAGGCCCGCCCTGCCAGCAGCTCTCATTCTGGGACAGACTGGCAACCAAGTGCCTGGCAGGGCAGGCCTCACTGTTCCTTCTTGTGAACTTAGAGGTGGACGATGGTGAGACTATATCAAGGGCTCCGTGACGGTGTGCCTTGGAGGGGGAGGGATACGTGGATCAGCATTCCTGTTCTGAGGCTGTCTCGGGGCAGGCTGGTATGCCCGCTTGTCCTTTCCTGTCGCACTCAATCGCCAGTGGTACAGTCTTGGGCCCACATGTGCTTTGCCAGCTGCAGCAAAAGTCCCACCCAAGCAATGGGGGACTCAGGAGGAGCAAAGACGCTACCTGCTTGCTCCTGTCCTAAAAGTGCAGACCGGGAATCTCTGCTGCCCTTGGGTGACAGCTGGGCCTGGGCGCTGTCCAGGACAGAGAGCTCTGCCAAGTGCCAACTTGGGTTTCTTGGCACCGGCAGCGGCGTTTGGAAGGGGCTTCCTCTTCTGTGTTGTCACCTGTCCTCGTGGAAGCTCTGGAGGCAACTGAGGGAATGATGGCACAGTGAAGGGGAGCTGGTCTTGCCTCTTCTTGGGAAAGGGGCCCTGCCCTCCTCGCCCCATGGCAGCCATGGCTGCTGTGTGGGGGCAAAGCGCGAGGATTGGGGAGAGGTGGGAAGGCCCAGGCCTTGCCTGGTTCTGTCCACGATCCTCCTGTGAGGCTGTACGGACCCCACGTGGACAGCCAGCAGTGGGCATGGTGCCATGGAAGGCGGGTTGGCCGGTGGTGACAAGCGAGCCTTCCAGAGTGATCTGCGCGCCTTTGAATTGACAGCCCCCGCCTGTCTCTTCTCTGGCGCTCGCCGGGCCAGTGGCTGTGAGTCCCCCGCCTGTGCCTCCCGGGCCCTCCTCCTGGAGCCAGCTTTGGTGTCTGACTGGCTCCACTGGCCATGAGAAAGCTGCCCCCTTGGCTAGCCCCTGGGCTGTCCCAAGTCGGGCCAAGCCAGTGGCTCTCCGTTACTTTCCCGGTCTGTGGGGTCAGCTTTGAAATCTTCCCCACCTGCTCCCCTCCGCAAAGGAAGCCCGCTAAAGATACCTGCATCAGGCCGGTGGCCCGTCTACTACACGGCGCCTGACACGCTGGCCGGCCAGAGCCATGGTAGGGGCGGTTGCCGTGTCTGCTCCCAGCTAGGGCTGGCTCGGTGTAGGGGCCGCCGAACGTCCAGGCTGCCATGAGTCTGTCCAGGGCTGGGTTTTTTGTCTTGTTTTTATTGGTTGTATGCCATCAGTTTGTTGTCACTCTCAGCAACCACATGGACAGATTTTCTCCGTGACAATGTGCGGGAGTCATCCTCTTCCGCTTGCAGACTCCGTCTCCCCCAGAAATGAAATCCAGGAGGGGCGGGTCCCTGGAATTGTAGCCCCACTCCAGAGTGGTCCTCCCCTGTGTCAAAAGGTTGGGACTCACATCCTGCTGCTCCTTGCTCGTGTGTGAAAAATCAGGAGTCTGGTGGCCCCTTTTCTGACTCCCAGATTTTGTGAAAATTTCTTTCACAAGCCTCTTCGTTTCATGCCCGGGGTGGCTCACCAGGTGCATCTGGCAAAGGGAGCCGCAGCTCACAGAAGCTGCTGCTTTTTAATCAAATTTGGGAGTTGGGAGAGGGGCTACCAGACTCCTCCTGATTTTTTGCCAACATAGACTAACGCGGCTCTCCTCCTACATTGTCTGCATGTGTTTTGTTTCTTGAAAAGAGACTTTGAAAAGAGTCTCACAGTGGTTTATATTTTTGAAGGTAGGTGTTTCAGCTGGAGAGTCAAATTCAAGGGAATTATTTTTGTCTTGGCAAAGAGGAGAAATAATCGAGATCTCTGGGGGAGGCATTGCCCCATGGGGTGCTACCCTAGCTGGATTGTGGGAACTAAGTCCTTAACTAACGTGGGAACTAAGAAATCCCATCCCCGAGAGGTTCAGGCACGAAAGAACTGAAGAAAGCTCTAGAGGGGATCTAGCCCCGAGAAATCCAAGGCTGGCTGGGGGAGGGATGTTTCTCGGGCAGCTCAGCTTTTGAAAAGAGGAAGGAAGAGCTCCGCTTCGGCCTCTTTTGGTGCTGGTGGGGAGCTCAGCCTCTTTCCTGAACAAGCCAGCCCAGTAGCGGCCTGGTTGCCGGGACCCTGGGATTGGCAGTGCAGAGGGCAGAGATGGAGCGACCGGGCGAAGAGCAGAGTCGGACGCAGGCGAGCACTGGTCTCGGGCGGAAGCGTTGCGCTCTTATCCCGGGCGGCTTGATCTGCCTCTGCGCGTGGTGGGTGCGCCCGTGTTGCGATTCCCCCAGCAGACAGACTCGTCTCATTCTCCTTTACTTCCTTTTCCTTTTGGCTCTCGACTCCCTTTCCCCTCCTCCCCTTAGCCTCGTTCTACTTCGTAGAGACTTGCATTTCCTTCTGAGCTTGACGCCCTCGGCCTGAAAGGGTTTCAGCCCTAGTGCAGACACCTCCCTGCTTGTTCGGCTACAAAAATGGACGGGAAGGCGAGGTGCCTCTTCCCAAGTAACCCAGTGCAGAGAGGGACCTTCTCCGGATGAACGTAGAAGGGGCAGCAGATGGGGGCCGAGAGGGCATAGGCAGAGGGTCCAGAGGCCCTGTGGGAACCGAGGGCCCAGCCAGCATGTTGCTGTCGCTCTGCGGGCACTGCCTGTTACAGGAGCTTGCCCTGCCACGGCCTTGAGTTCCGCCTTGCCCAGCCAAAGTGGGCATAGAAATGACACTCAGATATGTTGCCATCTCCTTCCGCCGGGGGCGTAACTGCTGATGACCAAAGGCCAATATGCCGCCTCGCCTGCCACGAGCAGCCACCCCCCGCCCCCTGCTCTCGGTGCTGCAGCAGCTCGTGGCTAGAGTAGCTCCGAGGGCGTCGGATCGCCTTCAGTCAGAGAAAATTTAGCAGGTGGACTTTCTCAGCCCAAACAAATTAGGGCACGCAGGCTGGGGAAAAGGCAAATGTGTTTCTCCCCATTTGTTTTAGCTTCTAGCAAACCCCATGGTTAGGGACAAGGACAAGAAAGCATGGCAAAGCGTGCCCTGTTTAAAGAGAGCAAAAACTAATAATCAGATCCGGGGTGTCTGCAGGACGTGGTCCAGAGAGGCGCAAGGGTGGTGCTGGAGGTGCAGTCAAAGCCCTGCTTGTCTTTCTGTGCAACACACATAAAAAGCAAGTGGAGTTTTGATTCTGCTGTCGTGGTCGGCCCTCCTGCCCTTCTGGACCATACCCTGCAGACCTTCCCGATCAGGCCAAACCAGGTTAAACGTAAACACGTTTCCTCTTTCAGAGCTCACCCAAGGAAATCTGGCAGCTGCCACGGGGAGGTCTGGTGGGGCTTCTGGAAGGAGCTTAGGCTGTGCGGTGTTTCTGCTCGGGCCTCGTGATCTGCCCTGGGCGCAGCATGCAAAGAGGCGTGAGGCGGGTGCACCGTAACGTTCAACAGCTTTTTCTCTCGGCTGCCTTCAGTTCAGTCTCGATGTGGAGACTGCCCGGGCTAGTCCCTGCGGTTTTCTTGGCAAGATTTTTCAGCAGCGGTTTGCCCTGGCTTTCTTCCTGGGGCTGAGAGAGAGGAAGCCTGGACCCAGGTCCCAACCGGCTTCATGCCTCAGGCAGGACTAGAACTCGCAGCCTCCCGGTTTCTAGCCTGGGGCCTTCACCGCTGCACCAAACTGTCTCTCAACAACTGTAGTCTGAGTTAACGCAGCCTGCAGTCGGGGGATGAAGGGCAACGTGATGGAGCAGTGGGGCACGTAGGAGATGGTGTCCTCCTCTTGGGTCTGACGCCTTGGCCGTCATCTGAGCAAGCTCCTTCCAGCTGTGCCCAGCCAGTGTCTTCTGAGAAGACCACAAATGGGGCAGGAAGGCAGAAGCAAGCCCCACTGTTTGCCCCCCAAGTCGCTGGCCTCTCTGAAATGGCAGTCTCTCCTTAAATGCTTTGCGCGAGAGGCATCGCCCCTTCCCGTGGCAGCGAGTTCCACACGCATATTACGCCATGCCCTGTGGGCTTCGCCTCAACATTACTGAGCGGGACTGGAACCCACAGCTCTGGCTCCCTTCTGTGAGAGTGCCACACATGCAGCCACATCAGGGTTTGCCTGCTTGTGCCAGGGGAGGCAAGCTCCCTTCTCTCCACACGTGGAGACCGTAGCAGACCCTGGGCGGGAAGCCTCCCTGGGCTACGGTCGGGTTGCAGCCAAGCCCGTGCCAGCATAGAGGGACCCGCTCGCCCCAGCAGACCATGCTCTTCCTGAGCCAGGGCCCTCCTGGTCAGGTCATAAACCGGAATAGGCAGAAGAGGGCTTGAGAATCCCCTTGGGTGGGAGAGGGGTGCCGGGCAGGGCAGGGCAGAGAGCGGCCTGTGCTGCTTGATAAGGGTCCTGCGGGCTGGCCGAGCAGTGAGGAGACGCCCTGCAGAAGAACTGCCGCCGCCTTCTCTCCTCCGCTGGGAGGTTCCTTTGTGAACTCAGCAGCGGTCCTGGGAGGGGGCTGCTGGAGCGTCCTCTGGGGGGCGGGGTGGGGGGCAGCCGGGCGTTGGCCTTGCCCCTGGTGATTCTGGGTGTGGTTTCTTGCCTCTGCCAGGTCACGGGCTGCCTCGAGGAGGTCTCTTCTGCCAGCCCCATCTGCTCCCCAGGGCCCTTCCATGGGTAGCTTCAGTGCCGCAGGTGCCCTGGTGAGTGGGACTGAGGATGGATAGCCCCCCCAAGCTGACTGGAGAAACATTGATCGTCCACCACATTCCCCTGGTGCATTGCCAGGTCCCGGACCACCAGTGTGGCAGCGCCAGCCAGCGGACCAACCCTTTCTTCCCTTCTGACCTGGGGGTTAGGCGGACCAGCTCGCTCCCCGAGAAGAGCCTCTTGCAGGGGGACTCGTTGGTCTGCGGCAGCTTCCTCCGGCCGGCCGGGGCTCTGGAAGAGGAGCCGGCAGGCAGGCCAAGCCCTTCCCCCACCCTGGCTGCCCCGGCGGCCCCCCGGCGGCAGAACCCCTTCCTGCTGAGGGACGGCGAGGCCTGGGATCTCTGCGAAGACGACCTGGGGCAGAAGGCCTTCCACCTGCATAACGCCCTGCCCGCCCGCCGCCTGCACGAGCTGGCCCTCCCCCCCTTCCACTTGCACAGCAGCAGCCCTGTTGTGAAGCCCTGGTGTGGCAGTCGCCGGGTGGACGTGGTGGAAGGTCGCGTTGGCCTGCCGGCCGACGAGGCCCAGGAAAAGAGCCGCGTGGCGGCAGAATGCATGGAGCTGGACGAGTACAGCTGCCACCGCGGGGACCCCTCCAGTTTCTCCTTGGAGCAGGAGTGGGCCAGTGAGTCGGACGAACTGATGAACAACCCGGAGGCCGTGCGCAGCCGGACCTGCGGCTGCTCCCACTCTGAGCTGCAGCGCTGCCGGTGCTACGGCCTCTCCAGTCAGCTGGAGCCTCTGGACCAGCAGATGGGCTACGTCAGCGACTCCTCCTGCAACAGCTCCGATGGAGTCCTGGTGAACTTCAGCACCCTCTACCAGAGGAGGAATGGCCACCCGCATGCCAACCTGAACTCAGGCAACTTGTCCTGCGGCTCTTCTTCTGGCAGCCCATCGGACATCGCGGCCTTTTACCTCGATTTGCACGCCTCGTCCCAGGAGTCGAAGATGCCCGGAGAGCTGCGTGATCTGGAGGGGCCAGGCAAGGCCTGCGGGTGCCACCGCCCCTCCTCCCCGGTCTTAGATGCCAACTGCAACTCCTACCCACCTCTCTGCGATCCGTGCCCGTCCGACGGCTCCGACCTCACTGCCTGCTTCCAAAGCCAAGCGCGGCTAGTGGTGGCCACCCAGAACTACTACAAGCTGGTGACGTGCGACTTGTCCTCCCAGTCCTCCCCCAGCCCGCCTGGCTCTTCCATCACCAGCTGCTCCGAGGAGCAGACCAGGAGCAGCCCGGTCCAGCCCACCGAATACTACCTCTTCCAGAGGCCTGAAGAGAGCGACACGGAGGGTTCCCGGGACGAATCGCAGGAGGAGTCGGAGAAGAACGCTATCCAGGGACAGGTCTACATCAACGTCTCCCCTCCCAGCCTCGCTGGGGGGAGGCAGCGCTCCCGGAGCTACGACCGCCATCTGGACCGCAGCCCCACCAGCCGGCTGGGCTCCTTGGAGCGCATGCTGAGCTGTCCGGTCAAGCTGAGCGACGGCTCCTCCCTGCCTCTCCAGAGCTCCCCGCCCAAGCGTGTCACCTCCTTCGCAGAGCTGGCCAAGGGCCGGAAGAAGAACGGCTCCTCGCCACCCATTCGGACCAGCCGGGACTCGTCCCTGGAGTTCTCGCCGATCCCAGAGTGCCAGCGGGACAGTGGCTCTGTCTTCCTGGAGAATCCGGAGCGGCCCAGCCAGAGCTTCCCGCCCCTGCCCTTGGCGCGCTCCCTCGGCCGCAGCTCCGAAGGCGAACTCAAGGCGGCCAGAGAAGCCCCGAGCTCCAGGGAGGTGCCCTCCGGTGGGCAGGAAGGGGCCGAGCCCCTCTTTTTCTCAGCGGTGGCAGAGACGGGGGCCGGTGCCACCAGTGCCCTTGGCCAGAAAGACATTCGAGCCCGAGCTGATGGTAAGTGCCCCCCACCCCCCCATTGCAGATAAATCCCCGGGGGCCTCTTTTCCACAGCCGGTTGAGGGAGAGCAAAGGCGCCTTGGGGTTTGGGGCCAAGCGAGGCCTCTCGGTTAAGAAAGGGCTCCCAATATCCCTGGCAGGACAGGGCCCAGGGATACCCCACGGAAGTTGCTGCTGGGAGCAACGGCTGGCTGGCCTGGGCAGGCCCACGCTCATCCCCAGGGAGAGAGCCCAGCTGCCCCTCAGCCCGGGTGTTGCAGCAAGAGCCACCAAGCCAGGGGGGTTAGAAGGAGGTCAGGCAGATTTGCTGAGGAGGGTGCCCTGCTTCTCTCTGGCAGCGCCGCAGCCCCCTTCATTAGGACTGATTCACTGGGTGGGACTCCCGTCCCTCATTCCCTCAGGGAGCTCAAGGTGGCAAAACTGCTCCCTCCTTGTGACGGGGTTACCCAGGGAGCCTCCGTGGCGGGTGGCAGGGAATTGAACCTCAGTATCCCGTTCCTACTCCACCCCTTAGCTGCCATCTCACCCTGGACTGCCCAGGGTGCCTCCCTGGGAACTGGGGACAGTCTTGTGAGAGCGGCCCGCGCCTGGCCCCTGAGCCTGGTCTGTACGCTGGGCTTTCCCGTGTTCCAGATGCGGCCTTCCCAGTCTATCTGGCACCTGCTCGGTCAGTCCCCCTGTATGTCTGCGCTGGGACAAGGGCAGGGGGAAAGAGGCAGGAGGAAGCGTTGTGAGCTCTGTGGGCAAGGCAGTGGGTCCCCGTGGCTGCAGCTGTGATGGCAGCGTGGACTGGCTGGACAAGAGGCGCTCTGCAGCACCAGGGGGCGGGCTGGAGCCATAGTGCGGGGAGAACATCGCAGGAGGCATCGGATGGGGTCTGGGCACCCCGAGAACAAGGTCAGAAACAAGCTTAAATAAAGCACGGGTCTGAATTTCCAAAGAGACGATAGGAGAAGTTCAAGAAAAATGTCCATAGTTTTGACTTATTTTATTTGAATTTGGATGGAAAAACAGACATCTTAGGACACAGAATTAAAATTCCAGTCCATTTTATTAGTCTAGAGAAGCGAATGGAAATACTGAAATGTAACGGGGATAGAGGCAGAGATTTTCAGTTAAGAGAGGCAACTCTAACGCCCGCCTAAGGGGTGGGATCCGGGGAGAGGTTCAGAGAAGGGCAGCGAGGATGAAAGCGGGTGAGAAGTCAAGGACTTGTCTTGACAACTGCTGCAGCGTAAGCTCTCTGCTGAGAAGTCACCCACACGTCCTCCTGGCCCAAAGATGGGGGGAAGCGGCGTGGGAGGCCGGAGGGTGAGCCTCCCCCGAGGAAGAGAGACTGGAAGGAGTGCCCGGTCTCGAGAATTGCGGAAGGGGGCGGCCTGACAACTCTCCTCAGACCCCTGAAAGGGCGTCACACAGAAAACGGTCAAGATCCGTTTTCTCTTGTTCCCAAGGGCAGGACCTGGAAGAATCGGTTTAAGAGGCAGGGAGGCTAAAGGTGAGGAAGCGCTTCCCAGCGGGGGGAGCCAGGAAGCACGGAGGGGTGGAAGTGCCCCTGCGCCAATCGGTTCAAGCCGTCTAGTCCAAACTCAGAACTTGCCCCTCCCTGTGGAATGAAGGGCACCGACAGAAGGGTGCGATCCAGCTTCCTTCCGCCCCGGGCGTCTCCGCCCCAGCAGGCCTCCTCTCGTGCGTTCGGGGAGAAAGCAGCCTCTGGCCTTGCAGCCAGGTCTGCAGCATCCTCTGCCAGGCGGGGGCAGGGGGCTGTCCTGCGGAGTGGGAACGGTGAGACCCTCGCGGCTTTTGTGCTTTTGGGTGACGAGCGAGTGCTTCGAAGGCAAAGAGGGCCAGGCAGGGAAACCAGTTAGAGGACGTGCAAGCAGAGCCCCCCCGCCCCCCCGCTATCTGGGGCCTTTTGTGTGAGGTGAGGAGGTCTGATCAGCCCTGGACTGACCCCCATTTGCCCTTGTTGGCTGGCTGGGCTCACCCTGCCTGCTAGCCTGAATTCTCCTTCTGAATCAAACTCACCAAAGGGGCTGGCTTTGCACAACATGCTAAGCTGGGCCTAACCTTCTGCCCCCGTCCCCCGCCTGCCAGCTTGGCCTGCAGAGCAGGGCAGCGGCCACATCTTCGGCTGAGCTGACGAAGCAGATTGTGCAAACCTGGCCAGTGATGGGGAATCAGCCGCCAGGGGCTCTCCTTCCGTAATCTGCTGGTCTGGGGGGGAGAGAGAAGAGCTGCCTTTCCCTCTGTGGCCCCCCATGTCACCCCGTCAGGCAAAACATTGAAGGGCCCGGCTCAGCCTCGCGGGCTGGTGGGCCACCTCTGTCCGGAGGGCCGTGCAACCCCTGCTTCTCCTTCTCTTCTGCAGGCGGCGCAGCGGACGGCAAAGTTGTGCGCTACAGCAAGGACCAGCGTCCCACCACGTTGCCCATCCAGCCCTTCGTCTTCCAGCATCACTTTCCCAAGCCGGCAAAGGGCCGGGCCCTGCGCAGCCATTTGGCCTCCAGCCTCTCCTCAGCTCTACGGCCCCTCTGCGGCCACCGCCGCCGGCCGCCCGGCCAGCCGGCCCCTTTCCTCCGCCTCTCAGTCCTCCACCGCTGCCGAGGGGCCTCTGGGGCAGGGCCAGCGTTCTGCCGATGGAGCGGCTTCCCTTGGCGATGGCTGTGCCAAGAGGGTGCCAGGGCCAGAGACCACCCGCCCGTCCCCGCTGGGCAGTTACTCTCCGGTGCGCAACAGCGTGCCTTTCTTCCAGAGCGCGGAGTCCCCCTCCTGCCCGCCCACCCCGGAGACTCAGCCACCCCGCAGCAAGTCCTGCCCGGTCTCTGCCAACCTCTTGCCCAGCATCAAACCTTCCCCAGCTGCTGGCAGCTGTGCCACCCAGGGCGGTCCTGGCACCGGTGTCCTGCACAAGCAGAGCGAAATCCCCTCGCCAGTGGCCAAGAAGGATGACCCCCCGCACCCCCCCGCGCCCCTCGCCACGAGCCAACCCCCCCGCCAGCCCCCCCCGCCCCTGCTTGCCTGT